TACTTGTGGGTTGTTAATTGTTGTTATAATAATTGTTGTTATAAAGTAAACCATGACTAGGGTTCCCACTCAATACAGGTAAGACAACTAGCTCCGTGCGTGGCACTCTTAGGTGCGAACAACATGGGTGAATAAGTAATAAATAAATTAGATATTTTCTCGCGGGCCGGATATAATTGTACCGAGAGCTGGTCTTGATCTGCGGTCCTTGAGTTTGATGTGTCTGATATATGCTGACAATTTAATGACAAATCTCTCAATGTGTTGATCCTTATAGGCTTTTCATCTGGGTTATGTTGTCCAGGGCCCAGTTCAGAGTCTGCATTTTACCTTTTAAATATTTCTCCATTGCTGTTCGTCTTGTCACCACAACCTCTCCCATCATTGACTTCTACTGTCTAAATGAACACGGTCATTACTGCGCTACCTACTGGCATGGAAGAGTATTTATTACTTAGCCAGACACTATATTGCAGCTCAGACGCTCAACAATGGCAAAGTATTTGCAGCAACTAAATAATATTTTATTGGACAGATTAAGTGAAATTGGACATTTTCCCACAGCACACCTGACGATATCTCACGGTACACTGGTGTGCTGCGGCACAGTGGTTGAAAATCACTGCGTTACACCACTAGTTCTGTCAGTACAGAACCAAACAGTGAATGATAGTTGCTGCACTGCTTGTGTTTGTGCTGTGTTGGCTCACCTGTTATGATTGTGTGGTGTTTAGAGTCTCCAGCTGTTCCAGAAGCAGAAGATAACAGACCAGCCTGCAAACAAGAAGGCCAGGTCAGTACAGCAGATCTGGGCACAGGCCATGTGTCACTATGAAACAACACGTTAGATGCCGTCTTATGATGATTTTGTGGCTAAAAGTACAATTGTGTGTGTGCAGACTGGAGGAGATCCAGTCGCCCAATAAGAAGCTTCCTCCAGAATCTACTCCCCGAGTCATGTTTACAGGCTTTGAGCCCACACAAGTACAGCAGTACACAAAGGTAAAGTCAGCTCATCACTCACTTAAACACTACATGTTTCATGTCTTTTGTCACTTTTATCCGGATCAGCATCAGACTTCTCAAAGCAATGTTAACAGGACAGTCACCAACCATCAGACAGGATTCTATTGTTACACTCACTTTGTCACCATCAAGTACTTTAATGAGGTCACTAGCTTCCTGTTTCTAAACATGAGTAAACATAATCTGTTTCTTCTCAACATAAGCTTCTCCGTGTTTGATGGTGTCTGTCCTCATCTCCTCCTCCCCTGCAGAGGTTACACGCTTTAGGTGGAGAAGTAGCAGACAACAGTCAGAAAGTCACTCACCTGGTGGCTAGTAAGGTGACTCGCACCATCAAGTTCCTCACTGCCATGTCTGTGGTCAAACACATCGTCAGCCCAGAGTGGCTGGAGGAGAGCTGGAGGAGCCAGAAGTTTGTGGGTATGTGTTGGTTTGTGTGTGTGTGTGTCTCCCTTTTTCCTAATAAAAAGAATAAAAATGTGTCCCACACAGCAGTGAGCTAGCCTAGTGTGTGTGTGTGTGTGTGTGTGTGTGTGTGTGTGTGTGTGTGTGTGTGTGTGTGTGTGTTGCAGATGAGCAGAGCTACACTCTGAGGGATGCAGAGGCAGAGGTGTTGTTTGGCTTCAGTTTGGAGGAGTCACTAAAGAGAGCACACAGCGCACCGCTCTTCAAGGTTAGACGACAAGCTTCACACCCACACAAGTTCCCTCTGAAACCAGCTGGACTGGAACTTTTACCTGATTGACAGAATGATTCGGGCAAAATGTGTTTTTCATTGAGATTGTTCTCGCTGGTTGAAGCATTGGAAAGACCTAACAGTGGTGAAAATGTATGGACTTGGATTGGTTCTGATGAATGTATTTTGTCTGTTTCATGTGATGGCTGATGTAGGGGAAGTACTTCTATCTGACCCCGGGGATCTGCCCCAGCCTCAGCACCATGAAGCCCATCCTGGAGAGTGCTGGAGGGAAACTGCTGGCCAAACAACCCTCCTACAGAAAGATCATGGAGCATAAACAGAACAAGGTCCTCCAAAATACCTGCAATACTTTAAAATGCACCCATCCACAGTCTGTCCTTTTATGTCCTGAAAAACACTGATTCTTCTTTAAAATGCTTTTAATATGCAGCACAATTAGGTTGGTAAAATGACAGTGAAGAGGTTTTAATGGTACCTAACATACCAAATTTATCAAAAGTCCTTACAGCCAATGAATGGAAGGTGGTGTTATTTAAGTGGCAATGTGTAATTCAGCATTTTACCTCTAGAGGTGTCAATACAATCTAAATTTACAGTCATCAGTTATAAAATAAAAAGCCAACTACTAACTAACAGCAGTGCAAGAATACGTGAAATCAGCCAAACTGCTAAAACTCTGAGAAGCAAACAACATTGCTGTCTTCTAATCTTCTCGCGTGCCGTCGGCCTGTAGTTTACATTAGCTATCTATGTATTTGTGCCACCAACCGGGTCCGTCTGCGCTTTGATAGTTGTTTATTGGATTAAAACCAAAGTGGCAGAAACGAGAAAACGACTCGTATTTTCGTTTTTTCCTCCCCGACACCGGGAGACTACTTTGCAGTGAGAACAACTGGTTGTCCAGGGAGACAGACCTTCAGTTAGCAGCTGTAACAACAGAAATTTAGCCAGAGCAAATGCCAGCACCGGGACTTTCAGACTTTCTGTTGCTTCCGTTACACAGGTTAGACCCAGCGCTCCAGCAGCCTGCTGTGACTCCAAACACTGGGATTTGTGCTGACTGAATGCTAATTGTTACAGCTAACCGCTAACTGAAAGTCTGTCTCTTGGAGCCGCAGCCCGCCCTCCTCCCTGTGAAGTACGTTAGTCTCCTGGCAGCGGGAGACTTACGTTTGGATTTAATCAAATAAACAAACCCTTCAATGTGTTTGACAAGCTCTCTGGACAGCTCTGCTTCTTCGTCCTCTCATATTGGACTGAGGGCACACTGTGCATTACAGTGACTCACTATCGCCTGTCGTGGAACAAGTGGTATTACAAGACAGGATGGGCCAGGGCTAACTGGTTAGCATGCTCAATTCAGTAGATATCTCTGCAACACAAAACATAGCAGGGCGCTGGCCCGGGGCAAGTAAACTCTTGAAAAATTTGTAAAAACATGCGTTGGGAGATCGCCTTTAATGCTTTCAGTCTCCGATCACGATAATGCTACATTGTGAACATTAAGTCTGTTGAAATCAGCAAAAGGAGAGCTAGTTAACGTTAACAGTCCTGCTTGGCTAAATAGCTCACAGCATAGCAACATTTGGAACAACTAACTTATTCAGACAGGTAAACCTATTATATTGTGATTCATGGTCATGAATGCTGCTCAGATTAATCACAGTGACGTGCTCTTCTGCCGACATCACGGAGTCTCTCCCTACAACAGTCCTGCTTATAAAGCAGCTAACAGTGAATGTATGGAGGTTCCACTCCGTTACAATATGTTGCCTTCAAGCTGCAAAAAACAATAGAAAATGAGTATTGGGCAACAGTAAATGACAACATTATCATGATGTGTTCAAATGTAATCTTCTAAAATAGAGTTTTGGTGAGAAACTTCAATGAATCCAGATGTTTTCACAGCAATATGAAATAGATATTAGAGGTGGAATTATGACTCGTTTAACTTCCTAACACTGGCATTAACTAAGCCCTTAATAATACATCATTGAAATGACTAATGCCCTCCCACAATTGTTTAATCAAAGCAAACTTCTGCACTGTAACTTCTTCACATGCAGTTCATTTGTTTTGTTTTGAACTAAATTCTGGCCTCATACACAATGCACCTTTTAAGCAATGATGATCATTTATGTTTACGTCAGGTTTCTCAATAGAACTAATACAGTACTAAGCATTAGTACTAATAAAGAAATGTAAACAGCAGAGAGTAAAACTTATTTTATTAAATACATAATACATTTATTTACAAAGTACTAACTACATGTTGGATTTCTGTTGCAGAATCTTCCAGAGATCATCTTAATTTCCTGTGACAATGACCTCCACCTTTGTAGAGAATACTTCTTGAAAAACATTGGTAAAACACACACACACACACACACACACACACACACAGACACAGAGACAGTCTTACTCCTGTCCTACGTTCTGAGTATTATCCACTTTTAGAAAGCAATTGTAAAATCACTTGATATTAGATATGTCCTAAACCAGTGGTGGGCCGTCAGGGCCTGCAAGGCCTTCTCTGCTGGCCTAAACAGAATCACGAAGTTATATCTATTTTATCATTTAATAATTTTTCTTAAATACACTACATGTATTATAATTTATAAAATATTTTTCCCATTATCTTATGTTCTCATTGCACAGCTACTGTCTTCCTCAGTTGCTCTGCTTCCAGTGCAGCTTGTTTTAAGTAGAGCTTTTATCCAATCAGATAGCCTTCCACTTAGCACTTACTTAGCATCTATTGTATTCATACTAGCTTATTGCACTTATTCTATTCGTATTAGTTTGTTGCACTTATTGCACTCGTTTGTTTCTGCACTGTACGTTGGCTCTGGTTTATGCTCTTAGATGCTTGTTTGAAGAGAGGAGATGCACTTATGACTTCTGGTGACTAGTTGTTCTCTCGAAAACCGATGTCGAATACACTTATTGTAAGTCGCTTTGGAGAAAAGCGTCTGCTAAATGACTGTAATATAATGTAATGTATGTCTCTAGGTAAGAACAGAGGCCCGAGGCCTGCAGACTCACAAGTGCATCCATGTGCACTTTAAGTGAATGGGGACGATATTGTTGATTGTCATAGTGTTCAACCAATCAGATCTTTAGTTTGACATGTTGGGCGTATTCTTTGATGTGTCAGAGCCTGCTAGCTGGCTTAGCCATACGTGATTGGTCAGTGGGCTAGCCTGACATGTTGGGCGGTGACAATCCCAATATCTGCTGCCTCTGTCTAGCGGACATTTTCAGCCTCAAACGCATTAAAACGTATTCAAGAAATACAACTGGGGAGGCTCGACTGTCTTCACTGGCGTCCATGAATGGAGAAGGACTTCTTACTGGAACTAAAACGCACGGATGTACTGAACAACCGTGAGATTAAACTCTTTATTAACAAAGAAAGGAGGACTTTGTCTTTAAATAGTGAACAGCAGCTCTGGTAAGTGAACTGCAGTAGCTTTAACTGCCATAAATATTATTTATCTCATTATTTAATATGCTTGTTTATATTATATATTATTATTTGTACAACTTGTTTTATGAATATGGATTTTCATTTGGTTTTATATGTGATAGGAACTATTGTTACGTCCTATGTTGCACTGGGGACACATGTAGCCGGTGCACAGCAACAAGAAGACGCACGAAGCAGCAGCGGTCTATATACTCCACACAAAGTGTTTAAGTTTAAGTGTTTAAGTGATCTACTTTAAAGGTTCATGTGTTTTCAAGTGGACTCATTTTCCCTCTCGGTGTTGACAGACGAATAAATCCGTCAGTAACAAGAACTACGGAGTCGTGTGTTTCCTGGAGGGAGTAATAGGAGAGTTACTACTCAGTTCATTTGTCTATGGTGTCGTCTTCATGATATGGGTAATATTGTTCCCTCTGATATGAATAATATGCTCTTGAGTGTGTGGCGGAATGCGTGCTTTAGCTGAATTGATTTTGACTTTATGCATTGTTCGTTAATGCCGCCGCATCCCGTCATGCTGGTATTCATGTATCTGCACTCATAGTGTATTTGTAGGTGGTGGGCTTCATTTTTACGAGTGCAGGCCCAGGTATAACATGCACGGCCCGCCACTGCTGTATACAGTATATATAACAGAACGGTCTAGACCATAATCACCCTCCACTCGAACTGTGGGCGTACTCACTTTCTTGTCCTGGCTCGTGTCCAAAAAGCTGTGAGACGTGAGGAGGCTGCTGGAGCTGAGGCTGCAGTGTTGTCTGTTGCTGATGATGCTGCTGCTGCAGGGCCTGCTGGTTCTGATGCTGCAAAACCTGCTGCTGCTGATTCTGCAGGTGCTGCTGCTGCATCTGCTGCATGTGTTGCTGCTGCTGTAGGAAATGCTGCTGCTGCTGTTGTAGATGCTGTTGATGCAACTGCTGTTGATTCTGCTGTTGCTGCTGTTGCTGTAACATCTGCATGCGTTGCTGCTGTTGGAACTGCTGGAGCTGTTGTTGCAGTGCCTGTTGCTGCTGCAGCTGCTGTAAACCAGGTCGCAAAAGCTGCTGGGGCCGTAGCTGCTGCTGCTGCTGCTGCTGCGGGAAGGCATGTTGTTGCTGCTGTTGTTGCTGCTGTTGCGAAAACATCTGCTGTTGGTGCATTTGCTGCTGTTGCTGCAGAAACTGTTGTTGCTGTTGGGGCAACTGTGCAAACCCTTGTTGTTGTGCGATCTGCGACTGTTGTTGTTGTTGTTGTTGTTGGTGATGTAGCTGCATCATCTGATGCTGCTGCTGCTGCTGGAGGTGCATCATGGGATGCTGCGGTTGCTGTGGTAACTGTTGATGTTGTTGCTGGGCAGCCTGGTGTGACTGTTGCTGTTGCAATAACTGTTGCTGCTGCTCTGTTGTGAGGGGCTGAACAGCCAATTTGGACTGATTGAACAGAAGAGCGTTGGTACTGTTCGGGGTCGGAGCATGGCTCTGATTGGTCTGCTGCTCCAGTGGCTTTGTCTGATTTGCTGTCAGATTCTGGATGATCTGCAACAGAGGACAAAGATAAAGAAGTGAACACGTAGAGCAGGCACTGATGTACATGATATCAGTGTCCATATTCAGTAATACTTGAATAATGTTAACATGAAATGTGGCCCTGCTCTTCCTCAGGTCGTATCCTCAGTGACAGCAGGTAGGGAGAACTCAGTCAGAGCACCAGGGATGCCCCCCGATACCCGGTTCTAAACGGGAACCGATAAGACAGTAGTAAATACCTAGAGTATTGATAAGGTCCAAAGTTAATGCTTCTGCTATAGGTACTTTGTAAGTTACGAAGTGAGAGCTACGCCGAAAAAAGCAGCATTGCAAACCTCCTCTCGCTGTCTCTTTGTGCTTTACTCTGACACACACACACACACACACACACACACACACACACACACACACACA